TCACCTCTGCTTTAAGCCGTCCTTGGAAATCCATAGAATCAAGTATTTTTCGCACTTTAGAGAACCTTAGAAATAAATAAGTTTTGTAGTTTCCTGTCTTTGATCTTCTCTGCTCTAGGGGCCTATTCAATGAATGACCAGCCAACAGTGAATCATCACCACTAAGAAGTAGTAACAGGGAAAAACTAGGTAAAGCTTTAGCTCTGGCCCTCTTCAGCCAGCACAGATGGCAGGTATTGAGAGTTGGCCCACCCAACGACTTTCTAGTTGGCTTCCTGGTTAGCAGAAGGCCTAGTTTTGACCTAGAAACAAAGAATCACCACAGATCTACATAGAAAGGCATCCACTCTGGGTGACATTAAAAATTCAAATTATAGCAGTGTTATGGTTCATAGGTAGATATCCTTCCAAAGCCTCATGCACTTATGGGTGGAGCCTGTGGGAGGTGACTGGATCATAAAGGCGTGATACTCATCAGTTTATAGCTACATATGATGCTGGGAGGTGAAGCCTAGTAGGATCACCTGGGCCACTGGGGGTGTGACTTGGAAGGATACATTTCTCCCCTTCCTTTCATCTCTTTCTGCTTCTTGATTGTCATGCCATGAGCTATTTCTCCTCTGCCATCCCCCTCAGTGACTGCATCCTGCTTTGGAGCCAGCAGACTTGGGACTGAAATCTCTATAAACAATGAGCCAAAATAAACCTTTTCTTTGTTAATTTGCAAGTGTCAGGTATTGTGTCTCAGCAACAAGAAAGCAACTAAGAGAAGCAGCGACTAAAGTATCTTAAATGGTAGTATCTGAGTTATTTACAAATCAGAGATCACATGCTCAAGACCAATTAGGTGAGTAATACAACTGTGTGAATCAAGCCTGGTATAAGGTAATTAACAGTCTTTGAAAAGGTCTACCTGTCTGCAACATTCACCTCAAGAATTTTTAATGTGTAAGGCAACTGGCACCATCTCACACTGCTGGTGGGAATGGAAGATGGCATTTTATGAACTTGGGAAGCTTTGTAAAAAGTAAAGCATATGCCTACTATACAATCCAGTCATTTCATACTTAAGCATTTATCTGACTCATGAAATCATAAACACAAAGACTTGAATACAAACATTCAACAAAGAATTACACTTAATAGGCAAAAATCAGAAACTATCTAGATGTCTATCAACAAATGAATATATAATCATATTATGGTATATCCATGTAATGGCATTTTACTCAGTAACAAAAATAAACTGATAAGTGAATTTCAAAATAACTTTTTATGCAGAGTAGAAGATAGTCTAGAAAATATAAATTAATCTACAGTGACAGAAATCTATAGTGGATTTACTGAGTCTAGGAATAAACAGCAATCAGAAAGACTGGAAACTAAGAAGAATAAGTTACAAAAAGGTCAAAGAAACATTTGCAAATGTTGTATATGTTTGTTATGCTGTGGTGATAGTTGTATGGGTGCATAAATGGGTCAAAGCTATACACTTTATGCACATTTGATTCTATGACAATTGTGTCAGATTCTCAGGGATGTCATAACAGAGTACTACAAACCAAATAACCTAAAGAACAGAAATTCATTTCTTCATTGTTCTGGAGGCTAGAAGTCCTACATGAAAGACTTGGCTTCTTCTGAAGCTGTGAGAAAGAATTTGTTTCTTGCCTCCTTCCTCCTAGCTTCTGGTGATCTGCTGGCAATCTTTGCTGTTCCTTAGCTTGTAGGAGTATCAACCTCATCTCTTTCTTTATCTCTGTATGATTTTCTCTCTCTCTCTCTCACTCTCTCTCTCTCTCTCTCTCTCTCTCTCTCTCTCTCTCTCTCTCTCTCTTTCTCTCTGTGTGTGTGTGTGTGTCTGTGTGTATGCGCACCTGCCTGCATCCAATTTCCCCCTCTTTATAAAGACACCTGCTATGTTGGACTAGCGGTGCACCCTTTTCCAGTTTTAGCCTCGTTAATTGTATCTGAAAGGATCCCGTTTCAAATTGAGTTACATTCTAAGGTCCATGAGGTTAGGATTTAAATATATGAATTTGTGGAGCATATGATTCACCTTAAAATGGCAGTGCACCTAAATAAGATAATTTGGGACCAAAACCTACAAAATTAATTAAGTTCAAATTCAATACTCAGTTATACGGAGTGGATGACAAACTTTTTCCCATTTTCCCATTATTCCACCTCTTGAAAGGTGAAGATGGTAACGAGAGCCCCAATGAAACCACTCAGCAGCACTCTCACCCCTTTCTCTTTTTTTGTCATGTTTAATTTAAGAATTTTCTGTAGAATTTTCTTTCTTAGAATTATTAAGGTATCATGTGGCTTTTACCTGATGAGAAGACATTATCTGCACATTAAAATACCATTTTTTTCTCTCATTATCTCTAAATACCTTATTTAGTACTGTGTGGCTTTGACATCATTATAGACTTGAACACAGACATTGGCCTTAGATGCCATTTGTGTGCATTCAGTGATAGAGAATTCAGAATATGCTCATATTAATTTTTCAGATTATTTGCATCAAAAAAATAAAAATCTTTATATATTCAGTAGTGGGATTGATGATCATAAGGCAATTCAACTTTTAATTTATTGAAGAACCTCCATACTATTCTCCATATTAATTTACATTCCTACTGGGTAGGGTGGCACATCCCTGTAGTCCCAGCACTCAGGAGGCTGAGGCAGAAGGATGGCTGTGAATTCCAGGCCAGCCTGGACTACACAGTGAGTTCAAAGCCAGCTTCAACTACATAGTGAGACTCTGTCTCAACAACAGACATACATTTCCACCAACAGTGGTCAAGGGTTCCTGTACCTCTATATCCTCACCAAAATTTGTTATCATTTAAATATTCTATACAGCACTGGGGTTAGCCCTGGTTTACTCTAATATTGACCTACATCCCCAGCACTTTTTATTTTCATTTTGAGATAGCGTCTTGCTAAGTTGTCCAGGCTGGCCTCAAACTTGTGATCCTTCTGCCTCAGCCTCTCAAGTAGCTGGGATTTACAGGTATGTGACACTATGCCCAGTATCTTTTTGTCTTTTTGATAATAGCCATTCTAACAAGTGTGCAGTCTATCTTATTTTGGCTTTAACTTGCATTTTTCTGACAATTAGTTTTTATGATCATTTTCTCATATATTTGTTGGCCATCTATATGTCTTCTTTTGAAAAATAGCTATTCATATCCATTCATCTCACTATTGAGTTGTCTGAGTTTCTTATATATTTTGGATATTAACCCTTATCAAATGGATGGTATGTGTCAGATATATATATATTTTTTTTCTTTTTTGTGTGTTGTCTCTAGCCTGTTGCTTGTTCCCTTGGGTGTGCAGAAGCTGTTAGGTTTGATGTAGTCCTATATGCCAGTTTTTGCTTGTGTTGCCTGATTTTGAGTTTATATACAGACACCTTGCAGACTCTTAAGAACATATGCACAAATTTCTGGAAAGTTTCGGATTCTAGTTACAGTTACACTAAGAATAGAAGAAACACCTGTGCTCCAAAAATCAAGACAACTGGATTTTAGGCTGCGGTCTGCTATTAACTAGCAGTGGGACCTTGAATAAGGATTAAATCCAGCCAAGTTTCTCAGATACTCTGAAGTTCATGAAAGTGTTAACCTTCTTGATACTTCAGTTTGCTCATTTATAAAGTAAAAAAGTTGAAGTAGATCATATCGAAGGTCCTGTCAACTCTGAAATCCTATGATGCTTGCTGAATTGAATTGCAATGACCTTGCTCCTAAAAACCAGGTAAGTCACCATTTATATATCACATATATATCTGCAGCTTTTTCTGCACTCAAGAAACTCAAAAACTAAGTCTGTTTTCAAAGTGACAATGTCCTTGCAATGGCAATGTTTAGGCACGGATACAGACAAAAGGGTACAATGCGAATTGAATTCAAGACAATAAGGATTTCAACAGGGGATTAATCTGGTGGGTAAGTACTTAGTTACCCACGAAAATGGAATATGGGTAATGTTTTACTCAGAAGAGACCATTCACACACTCAGATAGAAAGTATGATACTATTCTGTTATAAAAATAAAATGAGGGGCTGGGGATTTAGCTCAGCGGCAAAAGCGCCTGCCTGGCAAGCGCAAGGTCGTGAGTTCGGTTCCCGGTACCGGAGAAAAACCTAAAAATAAAATGAAGCATAGCAAACTGGAGACAAACCTTACAGATGAAGGTACTAGATGAAGTGCAGAGGAAATTCTGTACATTTAGTGCTTCCGTAAAATGTGTATAACCCACTTTGTCTACTCTCTCTGCCAGTCTTTCCTTTACAGCCTCACAGGTCCCTAAGACTGAAAGTAAGTGTAGATATTAAATTTATGGTAATAGGGGCACTGAACTCCAGTGCAGTAGTCTCTTAGCATTTTCTTATGTGGAACAATTCTGAACTTCCTTAAAGTTTTACTGCTATTGAAAGAAAAAATAATGTTACCAAAGGAAAAGGGTATAAACTCGTGAGAGAGCAGCTGAGAGTCCTCCTCTTCTGCTTGAAGTCTCTGGGAACTTCCAGAAAGCAATGTGTTATGATAATCAGGGTAACAATCAATTATGAAGTTTGATGAGGAAGGAAGAATTGGAAATCCCTGCTTAGAGGTTGTTTCATACACATTTTATTGGCTATAATCATGCTCTTTAACTTGCTATATGACTCTGAGCTAATCATTTCCTCTCTCCTACATTATAAACTTGTGATGGAGACTGAGCAAAACAATAGCAAACAGTAGGAGAAATGGCTGGATTACTAATATCTTTTGCCATATTTTAAATGTAGATTGCTGTGTTTTGAAAAAATGTCTATCTATATCTATAGGCATACACCTAATGACAATTCCCTAGCTTCCCTTGCTATTAGCTGTAGCTATGTAACTGAGTTCTTACTAGTGAGATTTAGGAGGAGGTGATAGAAGTCATCTTAGCCCAGCCCATAGAGATTTTCTATTGATCCTCTTTTCTCTCTTACCTCATTCTCTATGAAGGGAAGGGAGTCTTCAGGCCTAGAAAAGTAAGAAATAAAAGATAAAAGTCACTTGTGCCAGGAAGGATTAAATGTAGGCACCAGGCAGGGAACATTTCACTGAAACATTGCACTGTTACACAAGTATGAAATAAATTTGCCTTATTTAAGTCACTAAGGTTCTTTAATTTTTCAAGCAGTTAGCATTATATTAACAAATATATCAATATTTAGTGAATGCCTGCTCTATGCTACTCACATAAGGACCTCTTTAAACTTCACGGAACCCATGATATTTCTGCAAAATGAAATTAGACATAGAGAGCTTAAGTAATTTGCTCTACTTCACACAGCTGTGTTGAGCTGGAGTACAAATCTTTGTATCCCAAATCCAGAGACCTGGATCTTAACCATTACATGATACTGCCTTTCTCAATATAAGAAACATTCCTCAGTGTAGTGTATACCGTGGAGTTAGTTCTTAATTTACGTTTGCTATTATTATACAGACAATAGAGCAATCAAATGGGAAGCAAATAATTGAAAATAAAAAACCTGATTGTAAAATTTTTTATCTGCTCAAATCTTTATAATGCAAAATAAGAAAAGCCACATAGGCTTTTATTTTTTCAGTAAGGTCTGTGGGTAAAAGAAAAATAACGAAAACAGAAAAAGTTGAATATGTTAATTTGTTAACAAAAGCTGTAGTTTACATTTATAGTTCAGCAATCAAAATGGCATTTCCAATCAAGTATGTTCTTATAATACATGTTATAGATAAGAATTTAAAAAGCTCCTATTTTTCTGCAGAAGATAGGTATATTATATAGTCATTTAGCATTATAGTATCAAAGATTTTCAAGTGATATGAAGACAATACTCAGGAAGCAATGTAATCCAATTGCATAATTGATTCTACTCATTCACTAAAAATTTTTTACTGAGCACCAATTGCATGCTGAGTGCTGGGCTAGGAGACGGCCATGTGACCTCTGCCTCCAAAGAGTATAGGGTAATGGTGATGAACCTAGGGCACACATTTTATTTGTTTTTCTTTTAAGATAAAAGATGTCAACGTATGAGTTGATTTTTCCAAACTGAAACCTCAGTATTCAGGCTTAATTGTAATGTTGACACTTAGTGATAAATAAATGGGTTTCTGGGTTGCAGTTTGGGCACTTGTCTAAAACATTTGCTGTCACTGATATAGTGTCTAGTTTTTCAGTGCAGGCATTCTCAACAGGGTGGGAGAGTTCTTCTTCTAGAGCTTAGTTTCCTGTGTATATAGTAAGGAGATTATATTGGATCATTATGAAGGTCTCTGAGGCAATTAAGTACTGTAAGTGGATATAGGATCTCCTATTCAGCCAGGTATATTATTTGTTGTACTCATGGTTGTAATTCAACTAAAATTGCAGTAGTATCACATACGTATTAATGTTAGTTGCTAAGACTGAAGGTTTTTCCTGTCATGTGGGACTCAGGACTAAAACACAGCAAGTCTCAGGTAAACTGAGATGGTGGGTCACCTTCAGTTCATATCAAGTCACTAGACTTAAATGCTAAAATTAATTTCAATAAATTTTGTGTTGGAATGATTTCATATGCTGTACAAAATTGGAGGAATAGGGACTATGTATGGGGTAGTAAACCCACACCACTGTCAAAATTTTTTAAGGAAACAACATATTTGTCATGAGATCAAAACACTCACATCATTATAAGTTGCATAATCATTAACCTCTAAGAGTTTGGTGATGGTCATTTAAAAAGTAGAATGATTAGTTAAGAGATTGGAAAGAACACTGACTGCCGGTGCTCTATTAATATTTCAATCAGGAGACATATTTTCAGATTTTAAAACTTATGGTTTTAAATGACAAATTATAATTTTGTTCTCAAAAGATTTTGTTCTTTTAGATATTTAAAGTTTCACTTTTCTTTTTTCCTCTCATATTTGCTACATAGATCAGTACGATTAAGTTAGTACTGATTATAATGTTCCCTCAAACCAAAGCTAAAGAACCTCAAGGGGAGTGGGAGAGGTCTGTGGTTCTCAACACAGCCAGCTCCAAGGGCAAGAACTCCTCCTTACATCAGCAGTAAGATGGCTTTCTGGGAACTCTTGGACGCTTTTCTCCAAATCCCATTTTTTTCCCAAGACTCAAATATACAATACTCTCAAGAAATAAATCTTAAGATAAATCCCCCACCTTTTTGCTAGTATCAGATTCAGAATCTCTGGACTGGCTGGGATCACTAGGAATAATTCTGATGGATTTGAGAACTTCAACCAAGAAACAAGTGGACTTGGTCTTGGTAAGCTGGTTCATTGGGTATTTCTTCTTCATTCACCCCAATAACAAGGGGCTTTTAAGTGAAAGTTCATCGAATATTTCTGAAACCCCTTTGCAAAGTTGAAAATGGTACTTTTTGAAATTTAGACCAATTGATCATTTAGGTAATTTATCACAGCTCCAATAACTGGATAAATTTCAGACTCCTATCATTATTATGCCTCGTTTGGCCTCTCCTCCACCACAGCAATCTTTTCCAACACAGAGCAGTAACCATCCTCCTGTCCAAACCCCTTTACCCATCTTTAACACAAACACATAAATGTAGTGATCAAATAGAAATAAGCAGAGCTTCCTTTCTCATTCTTGCTTTGAGGAAGAGGAAAATTAGTTTAAATAAATGCTATGCTGATTTAAAAGGAAACAAATTGAACAGCAGGGAGACAAAGTCCATTTCCTTCACTGGAGCTGTTAGTGCCTTTAAGATATTCTGTCACATGAGTCAATCATAGAATCATCGTTATCCCTGTCTGACCTGATATCTTGTGCTACTCTTCAAAACCTGGCTAACGATGTCTAGTGCTTAAACTTGACAAATGCTTACTATACAGCAACTTGTGCCCTAAGGATTTCACTTACTCTCACTTAACCAGCTCAATCCTTTGGGATAGGTACTGTTATTAATCCCACTTTAGAGCCAAAGAAACTAAAGTTTAAAGAGGTAAAGTGACTTTCCCACAGGGACACAGCTCATAAATTGCAGTGTTGAGATTTAAGCGGTGTTGGCCTGGTTTCAAAGTTCATACACTGGTGCCTGACTCACACCATTCCCATGAAGTCTCTTTCAAAACCTGGAGGCTACTACAGATTCTACCTCCTAGTATGTCCTCAACATTATTCATTGCTTCAACTGCCTCCCAGCCTAAGACCTACCTCCATAAAACTCGACCCTGTAGGGCACAATATCATGTCTCTTCCATTCCCAGGAAGATAGGCTGCAAAACAGAGAAGACTCCCTAAGTCCTTGAATGCTAAGACACAGGTTCTGCATTTCCACCACTGGCCCAGCCCACCTTCTTTCCAAATTATATGCTACATGCGTTCTGCAGGAAACGGCAAGAAAAGACAAAAGCACATGTTGAAACTAGAATAAGGTTCTAGAGACAACTTCCTTTGAATGTTCTTAGATCTTATTTACGTAAAGGCAGCATGGGCCTTTTTGTCTCTAACCTTTTAAAGTGAATCCTCATAGCACCATGAACCTTCTAAGGTACACTCAGTGATTCATTGGTATCTACAAGACAGCTTCAGGACAACATGAAGTGGACAGACACTGAAGGACATCAGATGTATCTGACATCTATGCAAGACATCAAAATATGCTATTGAAATTAAAAATATATGATTGTTGCCTTTGCATTTCTCCCCTGGTTTCAAAGCATTCAAAAGTTGATTCTGCAATACAATGTTCTTCAAATTGCCCTATAAGTTCTAAAAGGTCTGACACTGTAAGGAAATGCAGTCACATTCTCTAGCCCAAAGTTTCAGTACTGATGGGCTAAGATGCTGTCTTAAAGTTGCTTCCGCCAGTAGTTGCTTCCGCCAGTAGTTGCTTCCTGCAAGGGCTTTTCTTGGGCACTGCTCTGGGCTGCCACTTCGAAGTTTAGAGTGAGGTTCGTGCTGTTTCCAAAGACCTATTTCTGTGCCTTCCGCCGCCCTTGCTCTCAGAAAATCTGCACTGCAAACAGACTGCATTCCCAGTTACCTCACATGTTTGAGCACAACTTTAACACCTAACATATCGGAAAGCTGTAATTTTGAAGTTAAGGAAACATTTTCTGAAAGCCTCCTTAAATAGGAAGTGGCTTTGCTATTATTCAGTTAAGTGTCCCAATACTACTCCCCGCGGCAAAGGCGCCTTTCCACCGCCACGGGTGTACCCCTACCTGGGATTACACACACAGCCCAAGGATTCACCGTACATTTTAAGACGCGGGGTCAGATCTCAGACTGAACTGGCTAGCTCGCGTTGCATGTTGTCTGCTTCTCAACCCCGAAACTGAGTTCTGCATTCCACAGAGATTTACGTAGCCCCCACTGTGCCTAGCTGGCCTCCATCTACAGAATTATTTATTTATTGTTACTGTATTATTGTGTTTGGTCTTTTTGCTCAGAAGAGGCAGAATGCCTTGCCTCTTTAACCTTGCCTTTCTAACCTTGTCCCCTAGACAAAAAGCGGCAGCCCGTGGCCCCTGCAGCAGCGGCACAGCGGAGCCAGGCCACCCGAGGCCGCGGCGCTGCGGCTTTGTTGGGTGGGCTACAGATGGTGCCCCAGCACGCGGCCGAGCTGAGGGCGGGTTGGGAGGCGGGAGAGGGAGGCCTGGAAGGGGGTCGGCCCAGAGGGGAGGATTCAGCCGAGCAACCAATCGGCGCGCAGCCCATCAGCTGACCGCTTTTGCTTACACCAGGTGCACGCCGGCTGCGGGGAGCACAAAGCGGGGCACACCGAGGGCGCCGGCTGCGATCCTGGGAAGGAGGGGAGGCCCGTGCGCCCGCGGCTGCAGCGCCCGCCGGGCGAGGACAGGGACCGGTGGTGGCAGCCCTGGCCCTGGCGGCGGCATCTCTAGGTGCCTGGGTGCCTTCCTGGGGACCTGACCTCTCGCTGCCCCGCCCTCGGCGCCTCAATTCTCTTGCCCCCCTTTCCAATTTTGCCTGCCTTTACCCTGGCCCGCAAAAGCCAGATTTAGCCCTGTACCGCGCCGCAGCTGTTGCTAGCGTGCTGCCTGGGCTCCGAGCTTGGTGCTCTGCCGTGGGTCCCCCAAGGAGCCAGTGCGTGCTGCGGGCTGAGAGGGAGGCGCCGCTCAGCCTGCCCTCCTCCTCCTCTTCCTTTTCTCCTGCTCCTCCTGCTGCTGCTGCCGCCGCCGGTGCCGGCCCGCGCGCACCCCAACGTCCCCACCAGCCGGGCCTCGGGGTAAGTGCGCGGGCCAGCGGCCGCGGTGGGAGCAGTGGGCGGCAGCCAGGGGGAAGTAAAGGCAAACTTGCTGGCGTGGCGAACCCTGGAGGGTGTGGAGGACCACGGGATGATACCGCGGGCCCAAGGGGGACCAGGGGGTGCGGCTCTTGGAGCTGAGGAAAATGACGAAGTCGGCAAGCGAGAATCTAGTTATTCTCCTCTCCTTCCACAAAAAAGCAGGGTCGGGGAGAACGAGAGTTGGGAAGGAAGCCAGGCAGACATGGGCAAAGGCAGGAATAGAAGGCTGAACCGCCGGGTTTCGGGGGCAGCCGGGGGATGGGAAGGAGGAGAGCTGGCAGGAGGAATGTGAACCGAGGCAGACGGCTGGGGACGAAGACCAGCGTGGGAAAGAACCCAGGGAGTTGGAAAGGGGGCCAAGGCAAGGCACAGGAAGGTGGCAGTTTTGGGGAAGGGAAAGGAGGTTCTAGCCGTGGCCTTATTGGTGAGAGAAAGGGGCAGAGGGCGTAATTCACAAAACATCCGGCGTGTTGGAGTCAGGGAATTAGGAAGAGCCTAGGAGCTCTCTTGCGGTCTGGGGACGGGGGCGGGGGCCGGGGCGGGGGATCAACCTGTACGTTTTGAGTCCAGAAGGGCAGAAGGGGCAGCAGCCTCAGGAGGCTTGCCAGGGATGCTGAAAGGTCAGGAAAGCCTTCGTCCCCTCCGGCAGCAGAGCCAGCGTGCGGTTCCTTGCCCAGACGCGGTCAGGACCGAGCAAAGTTTGCCAGCGTGTCCTTTGTGCGGCGTGGGGACGGGTGTGGGCAGCCGCTGCCTTGTTCCACGCTCCCTTGGTTCGCGCGGCAACCGCCTACTGCGGAAGGAGTCCCCGCCTGGCTGGCTGGACTGCCGGGAAAGTCCGTCCCGGGACTGCTCCGGGAGGGCAGGCGTGCACACGCAGACTGGAAGATAAGGCGGTGATCCTGCTCCAGGAGGTGGGGTCTTTGCCTGCCGTGTTCACCGCTGTGGCCCGGTCCCCCACAGTGAATGAATGAATGAATGAATGGTTCTAAGGTACTAAACCAAATGGTTTTAAGGTGCTTGTGCCACACGGGCAAACCAAATGCAGAATACGGACGCTCTTAAATTCCATCCCTCCATTAGTATTTTCATTCCCCAGACCCTGAAAATAAATGAAGTAATTGGAAGTCTTTGAGGGAACAAGTACTACTGACGTGCTTTTGCATGTAGGATTTTCTGCAAGACAGTCTTTTTTTTTCCATTTGTTTGTCACAGTCCAGATAATTTATATTTTTCAAATCTGATCATGACTTCATTTTTTAAAGGCTAGGACTAGAAGAATAAAAGTTCAGGAAGATTTATACTTCGATCAGTATAAATCTAAAAAGTGGTGTTATTGGCTCCAGGGCCATTTGTGTCCCCAAGTCTCTGATTTGCATGCAAATGTGAGCGGTTCCTGGCAGATGTCTGGCCTCATCCATTCACATGAAGGAATTTGAAAAGACAAGGAGTCTTCAGTTAACAATAGACCTTAAGAAAATGGAATAAAGGCGCAAGTGTGAGTTTTTCTGTTCGAGAATTACATGGCTTGCTGACACCTATATTCAAGAACCAAATTCTTTGTGTTATATTGAAAGCTCAAAGTCCACTTGCTCTTTACCTGGCTGCATGTATTTATTTGTGTAACATTCAAGCTGGATATTCTGAGCTAGACTGGAAAGTGTTTATAGAAGTAGACAGTAACTTTAGTCCACTTCTGTTGGCCTGAAGTGATTTTGAAGGGAGTCCTCCACTTTTGAAGTTTCTTTTTCTCTGAACAGTTCCTCTTCTTGTTCATATTTGTTCTCCAACTTAGAGGTAAGTAATAAAGGAGACAATAGCTCCCACTGACCAGCAGGGAGATCTCAAGAGAACGTTCACTGTCCAGTGAAAATCATTTGAGTTCTTAAGGCACCAAACTTGTAGAACTGCTGTCAATGAAATCATTCCATCCCTAACAGACATGAATGGCTGCCGGGTCACAGAATAGAACAATGAACAGGGAAGCAGTCAAGCAATGGACCCCCAGAGCAGGACCTTTCTGCCTTGTCTAAGGTTAGCTGATCAGCCACACTCACTGTTCACCTTCTGGCAGTGTGCGGCTGTTAAACAAAGGGCGGGCAGTGTGGGCCACACGTGAGGCTGGTGATTATACCTCCTGCCAAACCAGCACCAGTGGCCTCTTCTTTTGTCAGCCTCCAACACTGTTGAAAGGAAAGAAACCCTATTCACTGAGCAGCGTTTGCCCCCGTTCTATATATTCACTGAAAGGGCATTAAAATACAACCAAAAAAAAAGGATAACATTGTTTTGGAGGGCTGTGTTTTGGGGGAGGGTCTACAACAGATGTTGGTTGATTATTTTCCATGTTTCCTGAAGTTTGTTTTCCTGACTCGGTGCTTTTCATATATATAGGACAGTATTTTCCAGAAAGGAAGAAATGAATTAAGTCCAGTTTCAGGAAGAAAAATCTTACAGCCAAGTGTGCATTTTCTGTCTTAGAGTTATACAGAGGTCAGAAAGTAATAAATCATTGTAGTAAACTTTTCTGTGTCTCTTGAACTTAGTATTTTGACTTCCTGATGGAGTGGAAGTATAACTATAAAATAGAAATGACATTTATAAACTAAAACTACATTTTGTTTAAGAATTATCTAGGTACTGTATTTTTTGAGCAAACTTAAAATACCATGGCCTCACTTTCAAATTTTGTCTTTGGGCATTATCCTGCCTGGGTGAGATCTTTATTCTGCAACTCTAATGAAAGATTAGCAAGGTCTGGGGCTGGGGATTTAGCTCAGCGGCAAAGTGCCTGCCTGGCAAGCGCAAGGTCGTGAGTTTGGTTCCCGGTACCGGAGAAAAACCAAAAAAAAAAAAAAAAAGAATCAGACTAGATCTAACTGCATGCTGTGATTCTGAAAAATAATCATAGGTGGTTTGGGTTAGTGTCTGAAATTCTTTAGAAAAGCATACAAAAACTCAGCCATTGATCTGCCTCTGGCTACACCTTGCTAACCCTAGATTCTTGACCTGAACTCTTAGAACCATTGCTGCATATACTACAGCAGTGACACTCAAGGGAATATATCAGGTACTTTTTAAATCTACTTATTCAAAGTTATATTATGACTACACAATCCAATTGACTATAAATTATTTGTAAATAATTACAAATAATAAGAACTATAGGCATTTTGTGCCACTTTAAATAAGCCGTAAGCAAAATATGGTAAATTACGGGATATGGATGTCATTTTTCACTAGACTTTCACAATGCTCTTTTAAAATTTATATTTAAGCTGCAAAATAATAGTTCTCAGAATGATTCATTGGAACACTAAAGTTGCTCAAATATTGTATTTAATTTTTAAAAATTATTCTGAACATCTATTTTGGGTTAAGCCAATCTGGAGATAAAGCAAATTCCATTTTGGAATCATTTTCATTTCTGGGAACAATGAAGTATCTTTAACTCATGAATAGAGCTTTGATTAATATTGTATTCAAGATGAAATTATAATTATATAGATGAAGTCAGAAAAACATGTACTTGCTCTTATTTTGGCTCAAAGTACAGAACAGAGAGGCAAAAGTTAAACTTTATCTATTAAACTCAATATTTTTAGTGGTCAAGGATACCAGTTCTTCTAAGGCTGTTCTAAATGAAGTTTTTCTTTTTTTAATTTTCTGGTGTAAGCACATTACCATTCACCTTCTTAATGCACACATTATAGAGTACAGCTTCTACATCTCAAAACGTAAATAAATGCATGACAAATGGTCTATTGATATTGCATTACAATCTATAAAATGATGTATATTTCCAGATTTTGTGCCACACTGTAGAACTCTTAAGCATAATACTTAATAAGTAAAATATATACTGTTTTTTATTTTTAAAAGAAGCAATATGATGATTTCATGTTACATTTTTAACTTTTTGAATGTTTTTGGAAGTTGTAACAAAGGTAGTTCGTTCTTAGCAATTTTACCAGTTATTTGCTTAAGCAAGCTGTCACCCAGTCATAGGTAGGTGATCTTGGATCACTTTCTTAATCTGATAACATTCAGATTCCTCAGTTGTTACATGGAAGAGTTGGGACAACAGGGTTGGAAGGACTATCGTAGTCAGATTGCTAAAAGGTTTATAGATGCTCTACCTCCAATACCACAGCATAAATACTGAACTAGGGTGGAGCCATTATACCTCAATTGTACCTAATGCACAGCAAATCACTGAAATGCAGTAAGATAGGCTTAAGTATGCAACGATACACATCAAAGGTCCTGTCCACCCTGACTTCAGAATACCCTCTAACTATGCCAGTACATTAGCTTGAGATACCTCATTTTGAAAGCTGTGGAGTGAAAACTGCTTTTATGGTGGCTTATTGCCTTCCATTTACACTCTTTATAGCTCAGGGGTTGGAATGTTATTTGAAAGCTCTGATTAATATAAATGAATTGTAATTTTCTGACCCAGGCTGTCCTCACTCACATCTATTATACCACTGGCAGACATGTGGACTCCACAGCTGTCCCCTCATTTGTGTATGAAACAGACACACTGGTGGCATTTTTGGTTACCATAGTTACATTAACAATATACATGTGACATGACATCTTAATGAAAGGTTTTTTTGTGGTAAATATATTGTAGATCTAGGGGTAAAACCCGATTATTTAAAGTTTGGGGAATACATAACTGAGCCCACTGTTGTTTTCTGGAGCCATTTTTTAAAATCATAGGCAAATAATTCCATAGGAATGTCCAGGAAAGGGCAACCATGAGCCTCTTTCTGACAAAAATTTCCAAAGGAAAGATTTTCAACAATACCTAATGTGTAGGAAAATGTTTTGAAATACTAATTTCAAAATATTCACTCTTCCTATATGACTGCCATTTGTGGGATATGTATTAAGTGTAGCTATTTTTAATTCATACATGAAACCTGGACAGCCCCAATATTTACATCTATGTCAGAAAGACTTAAAAGACAACAAAAAATAAGTTTGTACTATTAAGCAGTATGCATAATGACAGAATCTTCATTTAGGAAAACTATAAAAGCTTTGCAAAGAAAGAAATGTGGCTTAGTTGGTTTCATGCCTATAATTTTCCTGTTCCCCCCAAAGAATGTTAGCATGCTAATAAAGAATATCATTAACCTGCATTGTTATTTCACAATAGTAATGTCTTCATTTGCATTCATAATAATCAGTATAATCAAGTACTTTGCAGAGAGTAAGGTTCAACCTCAGTTCCCATCTATGACACTAAGGACTGAGTATGTGACCTTCTAGATTTCCTGCAACCCTTTTGATACCTCACTTCACTACCAGTGTTGAGTTTTAAAGGATCCAGGTATGCTGGTAGGTGTTTCTACTGCAAATCCTGATTTCTGCCTCAATCCTATCATTATATAGAGAGGTAAAAGTCTGTGAGTATAACCTTTTATCTTTGCTAGAAGATGATTTTTTAAATTCCTAATCCTATAGCTAAGAGATGTCTTTATTCTTTTAAAGATTTTTTTCCTCTAATACTGACAGCTCCATACCATCTCACCTGGAGCCTCTTTGGGGAAAGAATTTTATCAGGAATATAGGAAGTTGTTTATTACAATTAGTTGTTTATAACCATTGAATGTTTACTCACCCAGTAAATATATACTAAACAACGACTGTATTCCAGGCATTACAGGATGCACTGAAGGCCAAAAGAAGTTACCTTGCTTTTTTTTAATAGCTTGTACATTAAATCCATTACGTTTTGTTTCCATCAATCCATGCATTCTTATAAAAATT